TATATATATATATATATATATATACAGTTGTGCTCATAAGCTTACATCCCCCTTGCAGAATATGCAAATATGTTAATAATTTTAACAAAATAAGAGAGCTCATGAAAATTGCATGTTATTTTTTATTTAGTACTGTCCTGAATAAGCTATTTCACATAACGGATGTTTATATATACTCCACATGAAAAAAATAATAACTGAATTTATAAAAATGACCCCGTTCAAAAGTAATACTTATACGATATAATACGATCTTAATACTTTGTGTCTTTTCCTGGATGATCCACGACTGTTTTTCTGTTTTGTGACAGTTGTTCATGAGTCCTGCGTTGGTCCTGAGCAGTTCAACTGTCTGCTGTTCTTCAGAAAAATCCCCCAACTCCTGCACATTCGTTGGTTTTCCAGCATCTTCTGCATATTTGAACCTTTTCCAAAAGTGACCATATGATTTTAAGATCCATCTTTTCACACGGAGGACAACTGAGGGACTCGTATGCAACTATTACAGAAGGTTCAAATGCTGAAGATCAAGGTAAATTTAATTTATTTTGTCTTCTGAGAAACATGTAACTATCTTCTGTAGCCTCTGAAGGGCAGTACTAAATGAAAAAATATGATATTTAGGCAATATACGAAAAATGTACACATCTCCATTCTGTTCAAAAGTTTTCACCACCCGGCTTTTAATGCATGGGCTTTCCTTCTGGAGCATCGGTGAGCGTTTAAACCTTCTGTAATAGCTGCATATGAGTCCCTCAGTTGTCCTCAGTGTAAAAAGATGGATCTCAAAATCATACAGTCACTTTTGGAAAAGGTTCAGATATGCAGAAGATTAGGGCTGTGCAATATATCGAAATATCGCAAATGTACATATCGCAATATATATATGAGATATATAGATAGTTATAGATAGTTATAAGATAGTTATAGAAGTTCACAGAACTGACTCAGCAACAGCTGAGTAAAACTGTTTCATCTGAGCATGTGGCACTTTAAGCATTATCGTTACGCATATCGAATATCACATTATTTAATGAGTTATCGCATATTGCATTTTTCTTCAATATCGCACAGCCCTAGTTTGTATTGAGTTTTATCTAATCTTTTCATCTCTTTATCTTACCTTATTATAACTTCATTATATGTACTTTACATTTCAACATCTACAATAGGTCATACTTTTCTGAAGAACAGCAGACAGTTGAACTGCTCAGGACCAGCTAGGGACTCATGAACAACTGTCACAAAACAGTAAAACAGTCGTGGATTATCCAGGAAACGACACACAGTATTAAGATTCAAAGGTATGTAAACTTTTGAATGGGGTAATTTTTATAAATTCAGTTATTATTTTTTCTTGTGGAGTATATATAAACATCTATTATGTGAAATAGCTTATTCAAGACAGTACTAAATAAAAAATAGCATGCAATTTTCATGACCTCTCTTATTTTGTTAAAATTATTAACATATTTGCATATTCTGCAAGGGGTGTGTAAACTTATGAGCACAACTGTATATAGGTTACACTTGTCCACAGTAGCTAACATAAGCAGCAACATCACTTCTGGTAAGAACATCAGCGACATAAATCCACCAGCTTTTGATCCTAATCACTGTGCGGTTTGTGATCTAAGCTTAATTCTCATTCATTCTCATTGAGAAAGGAAGTGACACAGGATATAAAGACAGACATCTAGACAGAAGATACCAGTCAGTTTCGGCAAACCGATTCTGTGACATGCAAGGCCTTCTGACAGTTACACTTTTCTGTAACTGGATTTACAAAACAGAAAAGTTCAACACAAATGCAGAGTCAAAATATTTCACCCTTTTATGATGACGATGAAGGAACACTACATATGCACCTCCAGAGTCAGTCAGAAATAAATGATTTGATGATAATATCCCACCAAAAAGGCCTAACAGAAAAATCATTTACTACAATAATTAAAGTTTTTAGCCTTTTACATTTTTCTTTCTACATCTTTTAGATTGCAATCCAATTTTCTCAAACAAAAAAGTAAATAAATGTACAAAATCAAATGAAATGTGGCACTCTAGAAGCTTGTTTATAGACCTACAATTTGTTATTTTGTAACTCCCTACTACTTCGACTCGAGTGACCAATTTTTTGGTAACACTTTAGCATAGGGACCCATTCTCACTGCAATGGTATCAATTTTATTTCCTCTCATATTGACTTTAGGAAGGCATCCTTATAACATCACTGCCTCAGACACACATTTGCCTTAGCGCCATGAGGAACCCAAAGAAAACGTTACGGTCTATGAGATAATATGAAAAAGCATGTGGCGGACAGAGATGAGAAGAAAAAATCAGTGTAAAGACAACTCATCCTAAGCACAGATGAAGAGTCACTGCAGAACAACACCCAGAGCAATAGCTCAGCACAGCCAAACACAGCTCAAGTTAAATGAGAGACAGATTTCATGAAAACAATGGAAATAATGCAGCATCAGCATGAGACGAGGTATGGGGCTGCTTTGTTCATTCACACACACTGACGCATGACTGGCCAAGCTGGAATGGTTTACCTGCATGACCATCTGTTGCCAGGCCAGCGGTTGGTTGCTCCCGCCTGTGGTGCCGCCCACCAGTCGATCAGAGGGCAGACTGCCGCGTTCCAGCTGTAAGGAGACATTGCGGCGCTCCTCTTCAAGGGCCCTGGTCAGACGCTCGAAGCGCGCCTCCTGCTCTTTGACTGATGCCAGGATACTGGCGGCTGATGGCACGTCATATTCTTCCATGGCAGCACTCAAAATTATATGCTGATTACAGGGCAGGGTAAATAGGGGAGAGAGAAGGATCCAGGACAAAAGAAATAGCCATTTAAAGGGACGGTTCAGCCAAAAATGTAAATTCTTTTAACATTACACTCTCTCTGTACTTTTTTCTTCTTCCGTGGAACATAAAAAGAAGTTATTTATAGCAGCATGTCTCTTTTCCATTAAAAGCGCATTGAAAGCAAAGAACTGAACAACTTATAGGGTCAGGGGATATTCAGGGCTAAATATTGGAATATTCTATACTATAAAATAAATAAAATCGACAAGATATAATTTTTACTAGGGATAAAACTAAATCAAAAGCTTACTTTTAAAACACAGTTCTAATGAATAAATAAATAAGACAAGAAAAACATAAATAGGTTTTGTCCCTTTAGGCCTTCCATAGTCCGGTGTGCATTGTAGATGCATATACTGTAGTCTAGTAGTGTTTGTGTTTATAAGACTGTTTATATGAGCACTTCTAAACTAATACTCGCTAAGAGTAAAAAACATTTAGAGTTTTACGTTTAAGTCCGGAAGCCCACCCTTAGTGCCGCCCATGTTCCCCACACAAATAAGCGATCAAACGACCACATAACACCAGTAAAAATAGCACAAGTCGTGTGGACAACTACCTCTGGTCCCCATTCATTTTCACTTTCTCTTTTTGTGTTCCACGTAAGAAATAAAGTCATACTTACTTGGAATGACATGAGGATGAGTAAATATTCATTTCTGGCTTAACTATTCCTTTAATACTGACTATGTAACCCTAAAACCTAACACTGCAACAGTATCCATGCATCAAATGCTGCAGATGAAGAGTCTGCACTGTACGACGAGCAGCAATTCCTTTATGGGAAGCTTAATACTTTATTTTCTGCATATAACAATCATAAATAGCCAAAACTCATATGCATATGCCACAAAACATACTCGCTATAGTTCCAGACTAAAATTCACCACACATCGACACAATACAGGCATGCTGGACTCTAAATCAACATGATAGCATCATTCATGCTATGCACAATAGCTCGGACTTCTCTCCCACTGTCAAAGGTGACAAAATGTAGATAATGGAAGCTTCACATAGAGCATAAAGAAGAAGAAAAAAACCTAGGGTTGAGGCATGGTTCATACACAGTTCACCTGCATACACACCTAGCAGTTAGTGGAGAGAGAGGCAGTTAGAGGACAGGCATCCCCCTATAAGGACAGACGGGAGGAGATGTGCCCAGCGGGAGGCAAAGAGAGAGAGCAAGAGCAAGAGCTGGCTGCAGAGGGAAAGAAAGACAGAAGAAATCACAGGTTAGATAACACCCTGACATTATAAACATTATAGACAGAATCTACTCTGTTTCCTGGGGACTTACAGAGGATGAAGATAAAGAAATGAATGAGAAGATGCTAGAGAATGATAGATGACTATTGAAACCTCACTCGCTGACTTTGAGCAAAGTAGATTGGATTGGGCTGTCAGGGGACAGGTGTACAGAGACGAAGGGGGCCAGACTGAGTATGGGATGGAAAAGGGGGCTGGTGCAGATTAATATTTACTAAGAACATTATACAGTTGTTGTTTTTCGTTCTCCATTAAACCAAAACCACAAATGGATACACACACACACACACACACACACACACACACAGTAACACAAACACGCTATTCTCTGCAGAACAGTTGGTGTGAAGGTCCTATTCCCTTTGAAGCGCAGCACAGTACACACACAAGCTTTGATGTTTGTTTCTGGCTGATCATTTATTTATCTTAAGCGCCGTTCTGACACAGCTCTAACGGCAAGGCATTGTACTACAGTCTTGTTCTGGGTATAAAGAACGACTGCACAAGGTCTAGCAAAGGGAGCCGATCTGAATCCGTGTATCATTCGATCATTCGTTTTTTGATTTAATATTGAAAGTAGAAAAATGAGAAAACGGCTCGAAATCGAATATTGAAGCTGTTTATTCATTTTTCCACCCATGAACGAAAAACGAAAATTTAAGCTGAATTTTCGTTTTTCGTTTTTTGGTAAAAAAAAAAAAAAAATGAAAAAGGAGCCGTTTTCTCATTTTTCTACTTTCAATATTAAATCAAACAACGAATGATCGAATGATACACGGATTCATCTGCCTCTGCTGCTGCTCTTGCCTTTGGAAAATAACTTAAGATTAAATTTATCTGCTAGATAAGACACGTTTACAAAAATGTGATAGCTTATCATGAAAAATTTAAGTCAATATAAATGTGGCGACAATGTGAAAACGGATAAACTTCCATTATCCGAGATGTAAAAGGTTAGATGTGATAACTTTTAGCCTTTCATGAGAAATGAACTGTTCTCCCAGCTGGGTCTACAAAATGTTACGTATTAAATATAGCTGAATATATATGAACATATCTACCTTCTTACAGTGGCATCTTATCTATCCAACCATCCATTCATCCAATTTAATCTTGACAATTCTTTCAAATTCTAATTACAATTCTGCATCCTGCAACCTCAATTCAAATTCAGGAACTGAATCAGAAACTGGCTTGGATCCATCCTTCAGTGCAAGTCTAAAAGATTTTTTATTGTCCAAATCTGTCAATAGCGCACTCCTCCTAAAAAAGCAGAATCATGTATCATTCATATCTGTATCACAAAAGGTCCAGGATGATTTAATGACAAAGGGCTTTGGTCAAATCCCTAACTCCAAGTATGAACAATAGTAATGGTGACTTTCCTTAGCAAACACCATTTATTAATTTCGCCAACTAATACACCTTTCGAAAGCTTTACTACTCAAGATTTATATCTGAACTGCTTTAGTGCTATAGTAATAGTACTATTCAAAATTACACACAGAAAGAAAATAACATGTTAAGAGGTTGCCCAAACCTTCATTTAAGAGCAGCTATCAAAATCTTTACAGCGTCAGGGGGCACAGCGCTCTCATCATGGGATTAACTGAGCTATGATGATGAGACGTTATTGTGATGAACACCTGCTTTAGGATTACAGAGGCTTCCTGTCCCATACTCCCTATTTCAGGGAGTTCAGGAGCTGATGGGAAACCGGTCCCTGCCTCTCTAAGTATCAGCAGAAGAATGACAGGCATGTCAGACATGCCCACTGCACTTATCATGACCACAGTCCATCGGACTACGCTTAAAATAGTCCAAAGTAGAAGCATTCCAGTCCTGGTTTGGAGTTGATTTTGCTAATAGTTTGGCGAAGGTAAAAAAGGGCCGCTCATTGTCAGTTAACTGTTCCAGCAGGAATATTCCATCTGTACGCTGCATTAACCTTACAAAGGGTTTTACTGCACTGATGGCAATATCTGATAAAATGATTGTACTATAGACTAACAAAGATGAATGAGCTACTTTGCCAACAATGCAGATAAATTTAAAGGGATAGTACAACTATTAACATTCTTTTATTTGCTCACCCTATTATTATTCAGAACCTGTATGACTTACTATCTTCTGACGAACACAAAAAATAAATTTGGAAGAACCAAACAATATTTATTTTCACTGCATAGAAGAAAGAAAACATGCAGGACTGAAACAACATAAGGGTGAGTAAATAAAAATCCATTTAACAGAATGAAGGACTTGTCTTGTGGTTAAAAACATTCCTGGTAACGGAAAGGTTATAGGTTCGAATCCCACAAGAGGCTTTTTAAACCGTCACCAATATGATGTTACTTACTGATTTAAGTAACTTTTTGTTAACAGAGCCTGCTAATTGACAAATCTGTAATAGGTTATATTATAAACAAAATAGATAAAACAAAACAAAAATGACACAATACATAGGGTTTTGTAACAATTACTAATGGGCAGAACTGGCTTTACTTCACATGAACTGTGCTCACGCTGGCACAGTGTTTTTCCTCAGGGATAAATACGTTGCAGCATAAACCCTGGTGCTAAAAATAGCTGTGTAATAAATTTACAAACGCAGTTGGAGCTTTCTGCGTGGTTCCAGAGATGAGATGCAGCAGCAGAGGCACATTTATAAGCCTTGACTTGAAAAAACCACAACAACAAATCCATCAGGGATGGGGAACACCTACGGTATGTAGCCAAACACAGGAAACATCAACTTTACTTCTGTTCAGGTGAGAAAACATTGAGACAATTGTGTTTACAGTGCAAAAAAATGTTACATCTTAACCCAAGAAACCTGGAACAATACAAGCTTATGAAACACTGAGAAAGGCGGTTATATAAGGCAGCATAGGAAGTATAAACTACATTTTTACCATCCAAAACTCACCTACACAATGTTGGAGTTGGCCTGACAATTTCTGAGCAAACATCACAGGCCTAAACACTAAGAAGCTGTAGCTGTCTGTAGCGAAAATGATAAGGGATGAGTAATGTTACCTTAGCAAAGCAATACTAATGCAGGATTGCTGCAGATGGATGAGTAGTGGCCAACTAGACGGAAAACTGGTTGGAACAGAAACGCCCCCCAATTAGAGAATGGTCTCATTTCATTAGCCCCAGCCAATCCCTTCTTCAAAAAGATAAACCCTCTCATTTCTCCTCTGGGGGCTAGAGGTCCAACATAAATAAATCACCAATCCAGCTCCACCTGAGGCCCATCTGTGTGTGCAGGGTCTGTAGAGTAATGAGAATTGGCCATTTGGTGCTGTTCAGAGATCAGTTTTGTGGGTTCAGATCATGGCAGAGTATTAGAGGGAGGTTAGTTTTGGACCAGGGGCTCCTGCTAAGACTAAAGAAGACCAAAAAAAAGGCCCTCAGTAGCACCTGATCTCATTTTTACACTCATCTGCACCTCTCCACCTGAGTTCAGATACCAAATTAAGGATGCATTAAGTTCAATCACTCAGATTCAAACAAAGGGACGTTAGCAATCTCAGAGGTTGAGGGCCCAGAGGCACTTATGATGAATGATGGGCCGGTGCTTTTTGGTAATCTAATATATTTTGTTCCAAGCCCAAAGAGTGTCAAAAGTTGAACCCTTGGAGGGAATGGAAAATCGCTTGAATCAAAAGACTGTTAGAGAAGCTGTCTAGGCTTCACTGTATCCGCGCAGGAGATTTACATCAAAAGACACTTATCATTTAAAATATGTAAAGGACCACAGATACCTAAATAACCAAGCTAAAAACACAAAAATGTAAGGGCTAGCTCACTCAAAGATGAAAACTGCATTGTTCCAAATCCATGAAATATTAGTTCATCTTCAAAACACCAATCAAAATAGTTTTAATGAAACCTAAGAGACTTCAGTCACTTTATTAAAAGTCTATTCTCCCAAAACTTTGACACTTCAAGAACTTCATAATGTGAAAAGAAATCCAGATGAATCGAGTGGTTTAATCCAAGTCTTCTGAAGAGACACAATTAGTTTGATAATGAATAGATTAATATAGGCTTTTATTCCCATATAAATGTTGATCATACAGCATATAAAATATGGTCCATGGAAGCTCAAACATGTTTGCTTGACGCAATCTTGATCAAGTCTCTTCTGAAGAATTGGATTTAACGGCTTGATTCATATGGATTTCTTTTACAATCTCTTAATGAATAGGATGTATTAAAAATATCTGTATTCATCTTTCAAAGATGAACAAACATCTTGTGGGTTTGGAACAAAATGAGGGTTAGTAATAACATTTCTGTGTGAATTTTCTGTTTAATAAAATCACAAGACAGACCTTGAGCCTGTGTATGTCTATATTTGCAAAATGCAAATGAGCATTGTGTCCGAATACACAGTACTTATGAAACAGAATCTACAGCTGAGCAATTAACAAACAGTAACTCAGTAGCACACAGTAGCCTATAAAATCACCTATATGTACTCAGGACAAAACTAGTGCATTCAGACTAAAACCACCAGAATTTTTCATTATTATTAATTAATTAATTATGTAGGACTGCCTTTGAAAATTTTGCTGAGAAAAACTATATTGTCATAGTCAATATTGCCTTAAATTTGGATTTCAAAGCAGTTTCCACCATGAAACGCATAAGAGATAAGTTTGTTTTCTAGAAGTAGGAAAGAATGGGGAAGTAAAGCCATTGTTTACCCCTTATTTTTTTCCTCGTCTTTGTTCTTTGAAGTGACTCTGGATGTGAGGAGCCTTTCTGAATGAACCAGCAGCGAGAGATTTAGAAGAATATCCTCAGTTGCACTCAGGCAGGGTTCGTACACATTTTTACCAATACATTTCCATGACTTTTCCATGACTTTTGAGACAATATTAGACATAACCTAAATGTTCCATTATTTTACAATAAGAATAAAAATCTGTTCAAATTATCATAGCATATGTTAACTAAAATGAATGACTATTAATGCTACTCGTTTGCTTTCTTGTTTTAGTAATAAGTACAAGCTGCAACTGCGCCAGACGTTACTCCACATTTCACATATCACATCACTGAATATTATCATTTATTTAACTGTGTGGCCAGGATGGCCATTTTGGCATCATTTTGTGTGTATTTTTGCTGCTTAAATGCAACAAGCTGCTTAAATGCAACAAGCTGCGCTTTAGAGCCCTGCATTTCAGCCCGAGCCCAACGGCCCCAACTTATTTATGGCTTCGGGACAATTTTCACGTCATAGCTCAGACACGGGCCAGGCATCA